ACCATCAGAGCAGGGGCGGGAGAGGACCCCCCCCCCCCCCCCCCACACACACACACAGGTGCCCCAGAAAACCAGGCTCTTTGTTCTGCCTTGTTCACAACACACAGAATAGCAATGGTACCAGTCTCTGATTTCTTTGTTGTTGTTTTTTTAATTGAGGTCTATTAACACACAATATTATATTAGTTTCAGATGTACAACATAATGCTTAGATATTTGTATATAGCGCAAAATGATCACAATAAGACGAGCGAACATCCTGATTTCTTTGTTTTTGCTTCTCTAGGCAGGTAAAAGCTGCAGACACTGCCATGAGGAGGAACATCAGAAAGAGGTGAGCATCAGGGTAAGCGAAAGTTGGCCACCATTTTAAGGTTGTGGATCTCAGTCCTGGTTGTGCCTCAGAATCACTCGTGGGTTCGTTTAGTGTCTGACAGCCTGGGTGCCACCCCAGAAATCTGAGTGGAATTTCTGGAGTGAGGCACAGCCCGGTTTGAGAACCACTGGCAGGGCAAGGATCTGCGATGCTCCCATCTTGAGAAGCAGACAAGAGCTTTCTGGGCTCCATGCCAGGCCCCCTGCTGGTTGGAACTCAAACCCAGCTATAGCCCATCGACAGGAGGGTGAGCCTTCAGGGTAGGAGGCACCGCGTGGGTTAGCGACTTCGAGACGGTGGTGGTAGACATCCCGGGGAAGGATCCATCTCTCTGTTTGAGGCTGGCTTAGATGTTTTGCTTCTGAAGACAGAAATAATACAAGCTGGAAAGTTTATACAAATAGGTTCTAATTCCAAGTCTATTATTTGGGCATGGCTTAAAAGTTCTGAAGATAGGGGCCCTGGCTGGCCCAGTCAGTAGAGCATGCCACTCTTTTTTTTTTTTTCCCCCTTAGATTTATTTATTCATTTTAAAGAGAGTGTGTGCAAGCTGGGGAGGGGTACAAGGAGAGGGAGAGAGACTCAAGCGGACTCCCCACTGAGTGTGGAACCCCAATGTGGGGCTGGATCTCATGACTCTGAGCGGAAATCAAGAGTCAGACACTTAACTGACTGAGCCACCCAGATGCCCCAAGCATGCCTCTTAATCTCGGGGCTGTAAGTTCGAGACCCACTTTGGGTGTAGAGATGACTTAAAAAATAAAAATCAAAAAAAAAAAAGTTCTGGGGCACCTGGGTGGCTCAGTTGTTAAGCATCTGCCTTCAGCTCAGGTCATGATCTCAGGGTCCTGGGATCGAGCCCCACATTGGGCTCCCTGCTCCGTGGGAAGCCTGCTTCTCCCTCTCCCACTCCCCCTGCTTGTGTTCCCTCTCTCGCTGTGTCTCTCTCTGTCAAATACATAAATAAAATTTAAAAAAAAAAGTTCTGAAGATAAAATACTATTCACGAAGGACTCTGAGGGCACTGAAAAGAAGTGATGATAATGGCTATTATTTATTAAGTATTTACTATGTGTCACTAGCTGTGCCAAGAATTCTACATGTATTCTCTCCCTTTATTTTTCACAATAATTATATTATGAGATGTGGGTATTATCCTAATTGTAGAAATGAGGAAACAAAGCCCCAAAGAGGTTATGTAACTTACTGAGTGTCGTATACCACTATGTAATGACCCCCAGATTTGAACCCCTGCTCGTATGACTCTATAGCCCATTTTCTTAACACCTCCACCTCTGCAGCTGAGCACAATTATCATTACAGCTGCAAACCGCCGGGTAAGCAGAAACCAGAGGAAGAGCTCAAGGATAAGAACCAGCTCTTAGAGGCCATCAACAAGCAGCTGCACCAGAAGTTGACTGAAACTCAGGTGGGAGACCCACCAGACCTCTGTCGTCACTGCACTAGGCAATGTGTGGACACCTAAGGGATGACCCCTGGGTGGGGAGAAGCTTGTATGCCCAGGGGCCTGAGGGGAGGAAGAGAAGATGCCAGGCTTGTGCTTTTGGCACCATCAGAGCAGGGGCGGGAGAGGACCCCCCCCCCGCCCCACACACACACACACACAGGGTAACAGGCCTGATCTGTCTGCATGGCACCTCCATAGGGAGAACTGAAGGACCTGACCCAAAAGGTGGAGCTGCTGGAGAAGTTTCAGGACAACTGCTTGGCAATTTTGGAGAGCAAGGGCCTCAACCCAGGTAAGAGACAGTACACGGTTGCCTTCAGAGGAGTCAATGCACGTGCCCCTTCCTGGGGGGGATTGTGGACTGTGTGCCAGGAGTCCAGCATAGCATCAGCCGGCCCGTTCAGTGTTGGGTTGCTTAGCAAAGCAATAAAGATTGGGAGCATCCTTTCTTTGTTTCTTTCTCTCTTTCTTTCTCTCTTCCTTCCTTCCTTTCTTTTTCAAGATTTTTTTATTTTTAAGTAATCTCTACACCCAACGTGGGGCTCGAACTCACAGCCCCGAGATCAAGAGTCACATGCTGTACAGACTGAGCCAGCCAGGTGCCCTGGAGGAGCTTTTCTGTGTTCTCTTGTGGTGTTGACTTTAACCAACAGAATTTCAGATGGTTGTGGAGAGAGGATTATCTCCTATCTGAATACTTCTATGCCATTCATTTGGTACCAACAATTATGACCTTGCAAATAGACCAGAAGTATTTTATTTCTTCCAAGGCAGATAACAAACACGGTAACTTTCCCAGGTGGGAAAACACAGAGGTGATACTGGTTCAAGGGCTCCTAAACCCGGCTCATCAGCAGAATCACAATGGTTAAATGTGATTTCTGTTCTGACCCTGTCCCTAGAGAGCAGAGTCTGTAGCAAGGAGAGCAGTAGAAGAAGGAATTGCCCAAAGACTGTACAAGAGCTTCAGACTGAGTTGAGCCTGAGAATACCCAGTGAAGGGGCCCAGGCTTCTTTGAATTCAGGAACACTGACTCTGAACGCTGCTGATTAACCTGTGCATTTAGGATATATTCTTTATAGTCACCATATATGTTTTTTGTATGATTTTAATTTATAATGCACAAGCACTACTTTTACCAAAAATAATAATTTTTTAAGCCCAAAAAGCTTTAAAAAATAGTTTTTTGTGGGGCACCTGGGTGGTTCAGTCAGTTAAGCGTCGGACTCTTGATTTCGGCTCAGGTCATGATCTCACGGTCATGGGATCCAGCTCTCTGTCAGGCTTTGCACTCAGCAGGAAGTTGGCTTGAGATTCTCTCTCTCCGTCTCCCACTGCCCCTCACCTCACTCCACACTCACACGTGCTCTCTCTCCTCTCTAAAATAAATAAACAAATCTTTAAAATTTTTTTTCAAATAAAAATAATTTTTTGTATTATAAACAAAACAAAAAAATCCAACCGATACATTTCCTTTGGACAAATTTTCTGCTAAGCTGAAGAGAAAGCAGAATGAACTTTTAACCATATCCAAAGCTAGAGAGGAGGGAGGTAAAATAAAGCTCTGAGGGTAGGTGTGGGTGGCCCTGCCAAGGTGAAAACTCAGGAGAAAGTCAGGGACCAGGCTCTTTGAGAAATTTCCCTCATGAATATTCCTGTACTTGTCCAGGGAGGGGTTTTTAGTTTTTGTTTTAGGTGCAGTTCCCTAAGCAAGGCTGACTTTGTCATTTGTGTCAGTTTTAGGCTGTGAGACCCTGGCATCACAGCGGGAATCCGCCGCAGATCACACGGACTCTATGGTGAGGGCGTGGGTATGAGTGGGTGAGGGCCAAGTGCTCAGCAAACCCCAGGAAGCCGCCTTTGTTTTCCATGATAGCGGAAGAGAACAGTGGATGTGTACTCAAAATAGCATATTTTACTTGGAAGGCGACTTTGTGCTTACAGATGTGAGTGAGTCGGAGTTGAAAATATGCTACTTTAAGACACATGTTACAGTGGACCTGTAGAGAGAACCTTCTGGTTTCTCTATTCTCCACTTTACCATATTTCTCCCCTTGTCTCTTTACCGAGAACTGTATGAAAGAAAGGTCTAGCCTGAATTAAATTTGGCTTCTCTTTGGTTCCCTCCCCAAAGTAGGAAGGTAGTCGTTTGGGATTAAGTCTTTGAGCTTCTATACCCTCTTCCCCGGAAAGATCAGTTGTCACCTTAGAATCATAGAATGCTAGCTGTGGAAGCCTTCCTCCGCCCCCCAGGCTAGTAGTCACCTCTTTGATGCCTACTCTGTTTTGTCCATATTGCCAATGTAACGTAGAGCACATGGAAGTGGGGTGATCTGTCCATCCTGTGGACTGTGTTCCTCCAGGGGTGCCCAGGAGAGGGCCCGGCCCATGGGGGATGCTCAGTAAATGCCTGAATGAACGGAAGGTTGTTAGCAATCATCTAATCAACTTTCATTTTATATGAAGACATTAGTTTATATGAAGAAAGTTTTCACATATCAGTAAAGATTTGTTACCACATTGTACTTTCCTCTTAGTTGCTGTTAGAAACTTTGCAAGATGAGCTGAAGTTTTTTAACGAAACGGCCAAAAAGCAGATGGAAGAGTTGCAGGTGAGAGGCAGGCATCACCTTGCGGGAGGATTACCATTTCCTGCCACAGTGGGTGGGGCTCTGGAGGACTCTTTCCTATTTATCAATTTATTTCTTTTTAATAAACTGCTTTGTAATAATAGATTTATAGGAAAGTTGCAAAGATAAATACAGAGAATTTAGTGCCCTTGATATTAACATCATAGATTATCATAGTATATTTGTCAAAATTAAAAAACCAACATTGATGCATTACTATTCACTAAATTGCAAGACTGCTCACCATTTTTTTTTCAACTGATGTTCTATTCCAAAGACTCAGAAGTGTTCACATCTACAGGGCTTGAGGCAATGTGCAAAACACTAGGTTGCTCAATGTGACAGCTGTGCTTTGGAAACTTGATATCTCAAGGAAACTGTAACAGGAAACCCAGATTCTTGAGTCTGGACTGCTTTGGATTGCTTAGAAGAATCAGGGGACAGTACACTGAATCCTAGAGGATTTCATGGCTCCAGTTTAGAGATAGGAGTCTGTAGTAGAGAGAGACCATTCCTAAAACCAGCACAGATACACAGATCTAAGATAGAAAATCACGTGTCAGTATTCCAGTGGTCTTCCTGAAGGAAGGAGAAGCATAATGTCCTGAGATGGTATTGCCTTTCATGTGAATCAGTTTTGTAGGTGTTCGTTTGTTTGTTTCTTTCTTTTTGAATGTCTTTCCACGCAGGCCTTAAAAGTCAAGTTGAAGATGAAAGAAGAAGAGAGGGCCCGGTTCCTAGAACAGCAGACATTATGTAACAATCAAGTAAATGATTTTACAGCAGCCCTGGAGGAAATGGAGCAGCTATTAGAAATGTGATAAAAAGCAAGTGACCAGATGGCTCCCACAGGGGAAGCCACTCAGGACATCTGCTTCTTGGCCATGACCTTCTAGAACTCACCGTCCCCAGAATGGAGACATTTGCTGCAGTAGGGTTAAGGACAGTCTATGCTAGAATGGTGCTTCCTCCTTCAGGCAAACGAACGCCACCCTCGGACTGGTGGGTTCCCCCGAACCTCACACACACATAATCGACATCGACAAGGGAGTGGGGGGTGTGGAAGCTTGGATCGACCTTCTAGGCAACAAAGCGGCAGGCTATTAGAGTCAGGAGACTAAACCAGCCACAGCCAGAGGATCCCAAAGGTCACATTCAGATGTGTAGGAAGAAAACCTTAATTGTGCATTTGGAGTGCAGAGGCTCCACGGAAGACATCAGTGAGAAGCGATGCTGTCCCCTTCTAACTTGGAACACATTCCGTCTCATCCTGGTTGGGCTCTAGACCTCATTGTAAATTAATGAACGTGAAGTTATTGAAATGGCTTAATAAATGGGGTGAAGGTATAGATAGCAGTAACACCTACCTGAAATAATACACCTTGGAGCTTTTAATCTAAATCACTTCTTTTATTTTTTATTAAGTGCTACTTTTAAAATAAATATTTCTGTGACTATCCAGACTATAACACTGAGAAATGAAAAGAAACCTTTTAACTGAAGTACGTCCACCGAATACTCTTGACCTAATCCAGTGAACAAGTTCAAGACTCCAATGTAACCCAGAATATTTTTCTTCCACTTCAGTGCTCTGTGGCTAGCCCTGCTGTCTTCCAGGAGCGGTAGCTGGTCTTCTGAGGGTGTCCCCTGTTTGTGGCGGTGGGTGCCCGACTCCATCCCCCAGCTTTGTGCCACTAGCTGCCTGTGCTCTCCCTGTATTCCTGAGCCTGCTGATCTACTGCTCTTTGCACAGCCAATCCTAGGCCTGGCCTCATGGATCCCTAGGTAGCTGAGGTCCGTGGTAGGCTTCCCCCCGGGTTTACCAAAGGCACAGCTCTATTTCATTTCTTAGTTGATCTAGGCAGGCTTTGGCTTTGGCTTTGACTCTCTCCCATGTTTTTCTGCATCTCCCAATTTCTTCACCAACCTCCCCCCTCCACTCTTGCTACCACCCAGTCAGGCCAAGGAACACCCCACCCTAACTTTTCAGGGCTAAGTTTCTTTGCCTTCCACACAGACATTCACACAGTTGGTTATGTCCCAAAAATTAGGAGTGGGGGGGAAACCCAGTTATATAACTCTCACCCGTGAGAAGAGCTGAATATTTTCCTCTACCCATTTTCAGCATGTTTATACTTTAAAAGATTGTTTACCCAAATGAATTTGTAATTGGCATTTCTGCCCTCCCACAAAAAAAGTTCTACTTCTTGGCAGGAGAGGGGGAGAACCCAGCTGTGGGATCCTCACCTCCTTGTCCGGCCTCCCTAGTTAACACCTAGGAATGTAACTCTCAATGCCTGTGACTCCTCTCGCCCAGTGCCGAAACCCTGGTGGCTGGCGGCCTGGGCTCCCAAGGGGCCTTCACCTCACAGTTCTTTGTAGCACCAGCCGGCACTGGTGTACCTTTGCCTTTTCTCTTGATTCCTCCGACCTCTGTTGCTCCATCTGCCTTTGGTACATGTGGAGGTGTTGTGGGTGCTTCATCTGTTCTGGAGGCTGGATGAACCCGTTAGAGAAACTCAGCAAATAGTGACCTGTACCCTCCACTTTGCCAGATGCTCTAGGAAACTTTAATGTAGCATGGCATTCTTAACCTCAAAGGTGCTTGCAATCTATTTGGTAAAACTTACATGTGCAGGTGACATATAAGTGAAATAAACAGCAACACTTTACTAACTGTGGGCTGTGTGGCATAGTTGTGTGCTCTAGTAGTTCACTATGGGCTAGTTTGGTTGCAGAGGGCTTGATGAAGGACAATAGACTGGAGACTGAAGGAAGAGTAACAGTTGGAGAGGCTAGCTGGAAAGTGGAGGACTTGCAGGTCGGTGAGCACGTGGAGGTTTGGGGAGAGGAGCAAGCTCGGTAGCCCCACTTCCTTTCCCCACACCTCGCCCTCTGCATCTCTTGCGCCGGGCTCTTCCCGAGTTACAGCCTGTGTGGTAAACTGATCACCTAGTAAATAAAAGGTTTCTCTAAGTCTGTGAACTGCTCTAGCAAATGATAAACCCAAGGAGGGGGGGTGCCATTGGAACCTCCAGGGAGAAAATAAAATCATGAAATGCTGAAGGAAAGAATAGAGCTGAAGGGATATCTGGATGGGTCTCGGGGAAGTGAGTTGGGGAACTGGGCTTGTTCAGAGGTTCAAGGTGAGGGGATTATGTCTGACACTTAATTGAGCACTTGTACTCTGCCAGATACACATAACTCCTTGCTGCACTTCTCAGGTAGTCCTCATTACCATCGCGAGGTAAGCACTATTACCTCTTTTTACAGCTGGGGAAATAACGCTCAGAGATGTTAGTTAGGTTGATTTACCCAAGGTCAACAAGCAAATATTGGAGAAAAATTTGAGCCAGGGAAGAGTGGGGTGGGAGGTACTTGGTGTTAGTAGAAGTCTTGATCCTTGAATGCCAGGCTAAGAAGTGTGGATTTTTATCATCTAGGCCAGAGTTTTCCAAACTCTTGTCAGTTCATGATGCCCCTAGTTAATGTCCTAGTAATATTTATGACACCCAAAGAAATATCAGTGGTTCTATTTTAAGTGATCAGATCCAACAACTTAGTAGGTATTTGAAAAAGTATTTTTTATTTCGTTTTTAAATAACTACAATTATTCACTAATCCACACAAAATGAACAAACTTTTTAGAATCGCTAAAAGTAAGAAGGAGGGGCGCCTGGGTGGCTCAGCAGGTTAAGCAGCCAGCTCAGGTCATGGGATCAAGTTTTGCCTTGGGCTGCGTGCTCAGCGTAATCTGCTTGTCCCTCTCCTTCCCCATCTGTGCCTCCACCCCCTCCGACTCACAACTTCCACCATCTCCGTTAAAAAAAAGTAAGGAGTTTTATTAGGGCCCAAATTAGGACAGCTGTCTGGGGAAACATGCTCTTCACAAAGAAGAAAGTGCTCCGGAGAATGAACAGGTTTGTTTGTTTTTTAAAGATTTTATTTATTTATTTATTTATTTATTAGCAAGAGAGAGAGAAACAGCCTGAGAGGGGAGAGGGTAAGAGGGAGAAGCAGGCCCCCCACTGAGCCGGGAGCCTGATGTGGGACTCAATCCTAGACTCCGGGATCATGACCTGAGCCGAAGGCAGTTGCTTAACCAGCTGAGCCAGCCAGGTGCCTTAAAGATTTTTTATTTACTCGTTAGAGCACGAGAGCACGGGCCGGGGAAGGGGGGACAGTCAGAGCAAGATGGAGAAACAGACTCCCCATTGAGCCAGGGAGCCAACGTGGGTTCCATACCAGGACCCCAGGATCACCTGATCTGAAGGCAGTCGCTTAACTGGCTGAGCCACCCAGGTGCCCCAAGAATGAACAGTTTTTATGGTGTTATCCTTTTTTATGTCTTGTAAAAGCTCAAAAGATTACTGTTTTTTAAGTTTTATTTGAGGGGGGTTGGGGGGCAGAGGGAAGGTGAGAATCTCCAGGAGACACCCCTCCCCTCGGAGCCTGAGGCAGGGCACAATCCCACGACCCTGAGATCATGACCTGAGTGAAAATCAAGAGTCAGATGCTTAACCAACTGAGCCACCCAGGCGCCCCTCTGTTGTTGTTGAAGATTTTATTTTTAAGTAATCTCTACACCCAACGTGGGGCTCGAACTCACAATGCCCATATCAAGGTCACATGCTCCACTGACTGAGCCAGCCAGGCGCTCCCACAGTCAAATTTCTGAGTTTTCACTGTCTGTCCTCTTCTGTTTTCAATCTGGCTTAAAGACAAAAACCGTCATATGAGATACCTAAAGTACCTGAGTGCCTGAGGTACTCTCCTTCACAGACACAATGTAGAATACAGGTTACCAGGGCCTGGGAGGGGGAAGAGCAGGGGAATTATGGTTTGATGGGTACACTGTTTGGCATGATGAAAAAATTCTGAAAATGGATAGTGGTGATGATAATGGCACAGCACTGTGCATATACTTAATGCCACTGAATTGTAGGCTTAAATATGGTTAAAATGGCAAATTGTTATGTATATTTTACTTTTTGAAGAAAATGTATTTGAGGCTTCACGAAGTATAGTAACCTTAAATGTACATGTCAATAAATTACTGCCCCCCTCCATTCTGACAGAAAATCACCATCTATGGGTATTGTCTTTTCTTGAACTTTATATAAATGGATTTGCCCAAAATATCCTCTTGTCTTTTTTCTATCTATAGGATCTGAAGGCTGACTTCTTTTTCATTCTTGGTGTCAGCAATTTGCAGTTTCTCTTTTTTTTAATCAGTCTTGTTAGTGGTTTATCAATTTTATGTTGATTTTTCTCTGTTGTACATCTCTAGCTCATAATTTCTATTCATATTCGTTTCCCTCTATATTTGGGGTTTTAATTTACTGTTCTTTTTCTGCTTTCTTAAAATAGGAATAACTTCATTTCAGTTTTTCTCTTTTCCAGTATATGCCTTAAAACTATAAGTTTCCCTCTATTAAGGGGCTTAGCAAAAGTGATTCCATTTAGGGGGCACCTGGGTGGCTTAGTCATTAAGCGTCTGCCTTTGGCTCAGGTCATAATCCCACGGTCCTGGGATCGAGCCCCGCATCGAGCCCCGCATCGAGCCCCACATAGGGGCTTCCTGCTCCGCGGGAAGCCTGCTTCTCCCTCTCCCACTCCCCCTGCTTGCGTTCCCTCTCTCGCTGTGTCTCTATCTGTCAAATAAATAAATAATATCTTTAAAAAAAAAAAGTGACTCCATTCAGGATCTATTGTTTCGTTTTAACATCTCTAAGGGCTAGATAGCTGCATCCCACTGGTTTTGCTTTGTCATATTTGCATTATGTTTCCATTCAAAATATTTTCAAATGATTTCTTATTTCACCTATGGCTAATCTGGCTTTTTTTCTCATTACTCTACCAAAATAGTTTTACTAAGGTTACCAATGACTTGCCTGTGGGCAAATCTGTTTTCAGTCTTTGTTTTGACTTTCAAAGTAGCTGAGGACACTATTAACTACCTCCTTGGAGTTTGGGATCTTGGCTCTCACTGCGTTGGTGGCCTGAAGTCTTGGGGAGAGACATTCTACCCCTTTGGCTGAGCTGTGGCCCTTGAAAACAGGATGAGGTAGGGGCCAAGACCCTGCTTGGGGTCTAGAAGGAGAACCTCTATTTGGGGTTTGGAGGGGAAACATGTTCTCCACTTAGGGGAGACCCATCATATGCGGGGTGACAACATTTCAGTCTGGACAAGCTCACAAAGCCTGGCTTTTGTCTTAGCTGTGTTTCAGACCTTGGACTAATGGGGTGCTGTAAGAGGAAACAGAAATCATTGTCACCAAGTATGCTATCTCTTTTATTCCTCATTAAACAAAATTCAACAGAGTAAACCTGAAGATCTAATTGGCTTTATTAAATCAATTCATGAATCAGGCAACATCCCACCTAGCAAGTAGAGGGGAGCTCCAAAGAGTTGTTGGAAATATAAGGTTTTTGTAGGAAGGAAGGTGGGGCAAGGAAGTCACTAACAAAAGAAAAGTTTGTTCCAGGCAAGGTCATCTTTCTTTAGGGGGAAAGGCATGGATTACTTATTTGGGGGGGGAATGAGGGGACCCATGTGACAGATTACCTCATTGGTGCTGACCACAAAATTCCAAATTGATTGGTTTAAAATTCTACTCTGGGGGCGCCTGGGTGGCTCAGTCGTTAAACGTCTGCCTTCGGCTCAGGTCATGGTCCCAGGGTCCTGGGGTCGAGCCCCGCATCGGGCTCCCTGCCCAGCAGGAAGCCTGCTTCTCCCTCTCCCACTCCCCCTGCTTGTGTTCCCTCTCTCGCTGTCTCTCTCTGTCAAATAAATAAATAAAATCTTAAAATAAATAAAATAAAATAAAATTCTACTCTGGGAGAAACTGAAACTGCAAATAACTTTTGATTTGCTGTCCTGCGGGCAAGTGACTCCACCTTGGGCCTATGGCTTCCTTTTTAGCACTCCCAACAGCCTTGCTGTGGGTGATATTGGTGGTACCGTTTTCATTTTCATTTCATGCAGCACTTCATACTCGGACCCAGGGCACTTAACACCTGAAATGAAATGGTGGGCCAATGCGAAGGAGGAGGAAAATAGCGAAGGGGGATAGAGCCTTAATTTTATCAGCTCTCCTCTTTCCCTGTTAAAAAACAAAAATTCAACTGAGTCCATTTTAAAAGATCTAATTGGCTTTATTAAACAATTCATGACTTTGGCAGCATCCCATCTAGCAAATAGAAAGGAGCTCCATCGAGGTGCAGAAAAGGAAAGGTTTTTAAACTAGCAAAAGAATAGGGGTGCCTGGGTGGCTCAGTTGCTGAGTGTCTGCCTTCCACTCAGGTCATGATCTCAGAGTCCTGGGATCCAGCCCCGCATCGGGCTCCCTGCTCTGCAGGGAAGCCTGCTTCTCCCTCTCCCACTCCCTCTGCTTGTGTTCCCTCTCTCGCTCGCTGTGTCTGTCAAATAAAGAAAATCTTAAAAAAAAAAAAAGGTAGCAAAAGAATAGAAAAAGGAAATTATAGGCAAAGGACTGTTTCAGGTAAGGTCTATCCTAAGGGGAACACAAGGGGGGTGTCTATAAATTTCCCAGTGCTGATAGGAAATTCCCATGTCGAGTGGTTAGAGGTTACATTCCTGGGGCGGTGAAAACTACAGTTAGGTAGTTAAGTCTTGGTTTACTGATTCCGAGCCTTAAGTGGCTCCACTATGGCTCGGTGGCTTTCTTTTTAATACTCGTAACACACAACTTTTCCTTTTCTATATCTTCACACCACCCCCAACCCTGTTTTTAAAAAAGTCCTGATGTTCTTCTTGAACATTAAATAATTTGGAAGACAGCAACTCTCGCATAAAACTCCAAAATCACTACACCTGTTATATAATAAAGCAAGTTTTCCTGGTTTCTAACAGTGTGCACACCAGAGCCAGCGCCACTTACCCAATCTTAGATATCCCAGATCTGCTTTAACTATTTCCAAGCACCGGGCATCTTTTTCCCAGACTGTTTTAACACTTCCTTGTTTTAACACTTCCTTTCCCACAGAGAGACTTCTGTAGTCAGAGACTGCTACTTTAACGCAGGGGAGATACCATTCCTCGATTCCGAAGACGCCTTTCTCGCTCTCCTACTTAGTAAAGTCTCCACGTAGAGATGACTCCGGCAAAGCGAGTCCAGCCCCACCTCCCTCATCGCGGGGGTGCCCAGGGAGTCAAGCCGTCACCGCTGATTGGCTCGCGTGGTGACCAAGGGCAGCGCGGCCTTCAGCCGGCCGCGGAGGGTGATAGGCTGCTGGAGACCCACCCCCTCGCCGATTGGGTGGGGGCAGCGAAGCCTGGGATTGGTGGAGCCCAGGGGGCGGGTCGTCGCCGCTGGAGCTGGCGCTGCAGCTGCTCCTCCGGCTCCCGCTCCGACTCCCGCTCCGGCTCCCCGTGCTAGGCAGAGATGGCGACCTCGGCTTGGCTTCTGGGACGGCGCGCGGCGAGTTGGAGGCTCCGGGCGCCGCGGGCGCGGCTCTCCAGCCTCGTGTCCCAGCGGGCCCACTCCCTCTTGCCCGTGGACGATGCGATCAACGGGCTAAGCGAGGAGCAGAAGCAGGTAGGGAGCCTTATCCCCTTCCGGGTCCCAAGGCCTGCTGGCCAGGCCGCGTCGCCCCTCGCGGAGGTCGCCCAGAAGCTCCTCTGCCCGGCGCCCACTCAGCCGCGGCAGTGGGAGCGCGGGGGGCGGGCGCGAGCCTCAGCCTCCCCTCTGTGGAAACAGCAAAGCCTAGCTGCCGAGTTAGATAAGGCGTCGGAGACAGGAAGGCTCCTGGGAGGCTGATGGTGTTTTGGTGGAGGATTGGCAGGGCCACCGGCATGTGGCAAAAAGACCCTCGGTCTGTCTGAGGTCCGCTTACACCTGAACACTGTCTTAAGACTGGTTCTCAAGCCTGCTTAATCATCATCACCAGGGAATCTTTCGAATACACACCTTGAGGGCTTTGAGTGCGCTGTGTAACCTGCTATAAGTTCTTCAGCCGATTGCGTCCAAGCACAAAAGTTGAACAGTAACATGAAAGGGCATTACAGGTGAAACTGAACCAGAGCCTTTCTGGAAGGAGACTGTTCACTTGGATGCTGGCACAGAGTCCCCCAGGAACCTGATTCTCCTGGCTGTTAAGCAAGTGCCCCAGCCTCCAGAAAATCCAAAATCCATTTGGGTTTGCAGTCAGTAGACAGAGCTTTGAATCACCTCCTACAGAAAGGGTTCAGAGTCGAGTGCTGACCACCACACCATGGGGCCCACTTTACAGAAAGTGTTCAATCCCAGCTCTCAAACTTGTCCACCAAGAGTTTCTGATCCTTTGTAACCACAGTCTCAGATCAGAAAACCTGGCATGTGCCAGAAACTGAAGAGGGTATGGCTGGGGCACAATGAGTGGGAGTGAGAAAGGTACTGGAGAAGGCTGGAAGAGTCAGTAGGAGTCAGCTTCATGCAGGGCCTTATAGGCCTGAGTAAGGAGCTGATCTAAGTACAATGAAAAGCCATGGAGTGACTTTATGTACAGGAGTGACATTTTAAAAATACTCAAGCTGTCTAGGCTGAGGACCTTAAAAGAGAGGAAGATCATCTCCGAGGAAGTATATAAACTGGTACGGCCTCTAAGTTTCAATCTAATGCCGTTTGGTGGGGTAACTTGTGGCCTGTTTTCCTGAATGTGTCCTCAGTAGTGGAGATGCTGTTCTTAGTGGTGGTAAGGGGCTGTTGCAGTGGCATCTGTCCACCTCTCTCCCTCTAGCTTCGTCAGACCATGGCTAAGTTTCTTCAGGAGCACCTAGCCCCCCAGGCCCAGGAGATTGATCATATCAATGAGTTCAAGAACCTTCGAGTGAGTCATGATGCCCATGGTGGGGGGGGGGGTGGCGAGCGGCAAGGGGGCAGTTTGGGGGCCGGGCTAGACTGGGCTGGGAATTGTACTGCTGCCTGGTAAATAAAACCTCCCTAACAGTGCAGCCTCTTTGTGTGAAGCATTTGGGTCTCGTTCCAGATGTGCCAGACACCTGTGACTGGCTGCCTTCTCACAGCTCACTGTTCTCACTCCTTTCTGTTGGCAGGAGTTTTGGAAGCAGCTGGGAAACCTGGGGGTCTTAGGTATCACCGCCCCTGGTGAGTATAGTTTCCTTCCCTAATGAGAACTTTTCTTGCATGCCCTTTAACACTGTTTCCAAAAGAAACAGGAAAGGAGGGGAAAGATCGTGCTCAGAGAAACCCAAGACTTCCTTTTGGACCTGAGAAAGCACCCACTGACTATCAGCCCAGAGAAGAGTACACTAAGCAGTAACATCCAGAAGGCAAAGGGCTGAAGCCAGTGTGGTTCACTGGGTGAGAATCACTTAGACTCTTGAACTCTGCATGTTTAATAAGCTCCCCCAGGTAATTTGGGGAGTTTAGGAAACTCCATTATCATGCAGCTGTCTTGCACTTCAGTCTTACCATCTCCCCTAATCCCAAAGTTCTGCCCTACTATTAGTGTCTAGGCAGGACCACTCAGGACAGGTATGTCCCTGGGGGGACTGCCTATGTCCTCTGCCCAGGCTGGCCCTGGAGCTCATCTGAGAGCAGAGGGTGGTATGGGAACTCCCAGACCAGACTGCATCTTGGGGGTTTATGCGCCCCCAAAGAAAGCCAGTTCTGGTTGGTAAGTTCTGGTTTCCACCTGGTTGTCCTGGTGGCTGTTTCCAGTGTGACCCACCTGTGGGCTTACCTTCCTAGAGTTGCAGGGGTTGGGCTAACCTTTCCCTAGAGCCTAGGATGAGCCTGACTTCTTGGGCAGAGTAAACGTGTGTAGAGCCTTATTTTGTTTTAAGATTTTATTATTTTTTTTAAATCATCTCTTTACCCATCTTGGGGCTTGAACTCTTAACCTGGAGATCAAGAGTCACATGTTCTGCCGACTGAGCCAGCCAGATGCCCCTGGGTGCAAAGAGTCTCACCAGGGTTTTGCCAAAGAGCAAGGCTGGGGGTTGGAGGTGGTAGTACCAGTTGATCCAGCCGCTGTGGTTTTGGATCTGTTGCCAAGGAAAAGCCACACTTTTTTGGTAAGGAGCTCTGAAATTCACTCTCTGTGGCACTCCTGTCCCCCGTTACTAGTCTTGCCTTTTTCTTTTTAACTTTTTAAAGACATAATTGACATATAACGTCGTATCAAATAACATGTTGATTTGATAGACGTGCTTTGTTAGGTCCAAACACCTATGCTATGAAAATCTCACCTTCCTTTACTTGCTGTCTGTTCTTAGTGCTCTGACCCTTCTTCTTTGTGTTTCTTGGTTAACTCCAGGTCGCCCTTCATTTATTCATCTGCCTGTGCACTTCTGTGACTTTCTGAACATTTGGGTGCTCAGGCTCTCTTGTCTTCCTTAAGAGGTCTGTCCGGGATAAAGCAGGTGTTTGCATTGCCTGTTTTCTGAACCACACCTCAGCTGACCAGAGGCAGCAGACAAAGCCAGTTCTGTGAGCTGGTAAAGTAGGGCCCACGGCGTCAGCCTATCGACCTTCCTAGGGGGTAACTTGGAGTAGGAGCTACAGGGGTATTTCTTTGCTGCTGGTAAACATTCCTGTGAATGTCCCAATGTAATCTGGGCTGCCTTTTCTGCTGTGCTGCCCCGCCTTCACTCCCAGTTCAGTATGGCGGCTCCGGCCTGGGCTACTTGGAACAGGTGCTGGTGATGGAAGAGATATCCCGAGCTTCTGGAGCAGTGGGGCTCAGTTACGGTGCTCACTCCAACCTCTGCGTCAACCAAATTGTGCGCAATGGAAATGAGGCCCAGAAGGAAAAGTACCTCCCCAAGGTGAGGAGATGGGGAGGGAGAGACCCTGAGGCACCCTCCCGGTTTGGCTAGGGCCAGTCACACTTGCTTTCTGCAGCATGCTGCCCTCAACCAGATACGGATAGGAAGGGTCAGGGACTTGCTTTTAAAATAATTCAATCAAAAGAATTAAAAATAGGACCAGAGGGGCGCCTGGGTGGCTCAGTCATTAAGCGTCTGCCTTTGGCTCAGGTCATGATCCCAGGGTCCTGGGGTCGAGCCCCACATCGGGCTCCCTGCTCTGCGGGGAAGCCTGCTTCTCCCTCTCCCACTCCCCCTGCTTGTGTTCCCTCTCTCGCTGTGTCTCCCTCTGTCAAATAAATAAAATCTTTAAAATATATATATATATAATAAAAAAACAAAAATAAAAACAGGACCAGAACTCCTGAGTCAGTCACTGGACATCATTTGCAGAGCATTTGAAGAAATGGAAGACTACCGGCGCCTGGGTGGCTCAGTTGGTTAAGCGACTGCCTTTGGCTCAGGTCATGATCCTGGAGTCCCGGGATCGAGTCTCGCATCGGGCTCCCTGCTCAGCAGGGAGTCTGCTTCTCCCTCTGACCCTCTTCCCTCTCGTGCTCTCTATCTCTCATTCCTCTCTCTCAAATAAATAAAATCTTTAAAAAAAAAAAAAAGAAAAAAGAAACGGAAGACTAGGACTCACTTCCCTTGCAAAGGGAATGGGAAAGGGAGAGATTTTTAGTCTTACAGATAGTGGGCTTCTCTTCCAGACCTTTACCAATACCTGGTCTGAGAGAAGTCTGAAGGGGTGTCATGTGAACAGGTGAGAAGCAATGTTGTAAGCTCCCATAGAGGACTACTGAAGTCATAACCAGCCCTTGTGGTTTTCCTTGCAGCTGATCAGTGGTGAGTACATCGGAGCCCTGGCCATGAGTGAGCCCAATGCTGGCTCTGATGTTGTCTCCATGAAGCTAAAAGCAGAAAAGAAAGGTGAGGCTCCTCTTGCCTTGGGAGCTTCTGGAGTGGGAGCTGAAATGGACAGAGGGACAGCCCTTCTCAGGGTGAGGGAACAGTCATTGGAGGTGTCCTCTGCCAGGTTTCCAGAACTGTCCCAGCAGGGCAGCTTCCTGCCCAGCAGCAGGTCCATGAACTGACTGGTTGGGACAGGCCAGCATGGCTTGAGCAAGTAGCCAACTTCTTGTCCTTAGGTGATCACTACATCCTGAATGGGAACAAGTTCTGGATCACCAATGGCCCTGATGCTGACATCCTTATTATCTACGCCAAGACAGATCTGGCTGCTGTGCCAGCCTCTCGGGGCATCACAGCCTTTATTGTGGAAAAGGTGAGTGGAGGGCAGTGCATGCTGGGAGGCTTTTGTCTCCTGAAGTCAGTATACCAGAGATGGCTCTCTTCTGCTTGTCGTGGACACAATCGATGTGTGCTCTGCCAAGGCTCCCCGAGGTGAGGGCAGAGTAGAAGAGCCGACTGAAAGGAGGGTGGCCAAACTGGGAGCCCCAGAAGGGTGAGTCAGGTCTGAGCGTGGTGGAGCCACACAGAGAGATCCAGGAAGATAAGGACTGGAAGGAGGCAACTGGATCTGACAACCAGGGTGTCCCTGGTGGCCTTGGGGAGAGTGGCTGTGGAGAGCACTCTGTGAACAGGAAGGTCGGGGGCGGAGGGGGGTTGGTGGATGAAGGCCGCAGCAAAGTAAGGGGGAGATGGACCGGGAGTTGGAATGAAAAGGGGGACATTTAGTTTGTTTTTAAGAATGGGAGAAAACTGCAAATTATTTGGTAGAGAGAAAGGAAAATGGAGAAATTGAGGTGTGTGGGAGTAAGTGAGCCAAACCCAACAGTGAGCCATGGGAAAGGGAGGGCTGGGTTACAGGTGACAGTGGAGAAGCCATCTGCCTCATGACTGTGCGGTGTGAGGGCTGGGAACCGTGCGGGTCGGGGAGCTGGGAGAGAAGTCCAAGAATTGAGTGTCATAGAGGTTTGCAGTACCCTCCACGGAGAGAGAGGACTAAGACTGGAGGAAAGAAAAGTTAGTAGTCCAAAGGGCCCGGCAGACGTTGGTAATCTCACGGTCGCGTGGCGCCACTGTCATTAGCCTGCCTGTCCGCACTGTCTGGCCGGCACTTGGCAATGCATACTGCGTCTGGTTAGCCAGGCCAGAGCATGCAGATGGCCGAATTGATCCTGGGTGGGACTCAGGTACAGATGGCAGAGGAACAGAGGCAAAGGAATTGAGTTACCTGGAGAGAGGGTCTTGGAAGTGCTTTCCCCTGAGGAGAGGAAACAAAGCTGGCAAAGGTCCGGGGCTGCCCAGGGAGTGGGTATTTGATTGAGAAAGAACTGCCCCTGTGAGAAGCGGGGAGAACGCACCTAGCAGCACAGGAGGGTGGGACGTTAGGGCTGGAGCTTCTAGGAGTGGGGCGGTAGTACAGAGTGGGGGCCCTGGGACTAGGATGCAAATTCAGGGACTGGATGGGAGGGTGGGCATTTCCCAAGGGTCTGCCTTTTACTAGTCCCCGCCTTGGGGACTGGTCTGTAATTGGGGCCACCTTTTTTCCCGTAAAGGGGATGCCTGGCTTCAGCACCTCCAAGAAGCTGGACAAGCTGGGGATGAGGGGCTCTAACACCTGTGAGCTAATCTTTGAAGACTGCAAGGTTCCTGGTGAGTCCCTGAGAATGGGCAAGCCCCTGTCTGACCGTATCATAAGCTGAGAAAGCCCATCTCTGAGTAAGAGAAGCTCACCATTATTAGCTTACCAAGGACATGTGTCTAGACGGTGAGCCTCTCTCTATTGTGCTTGTCCATGGGCCCATACGTGTGGGCCTTGGGCTGCTGGGTAGCTGTCCTTCTGGCCAGAGCTGTGTCCCTGCCTGTGGCTGCCATGAAGGGTGCTATTTCCTATGTGACTAATACAATGTGCCCAGGGTGGTATGCCAGTACCTGGCATAGACAGCTGAGATGTGCCCCCAACCTCTCCTGTCCTCCAGACTTCCTTGTTTGTGCATTTCCCTGAATAGCCCAGGTGAGGGACTCATTAACGGTGCTAAAAAAAACCATTCAGATACACTGAAGGAAGCCAGACTCAGTGAAGACAAGGGAATTCAATTTGAGTATTTTTGCCCCTGAAGTGTAACTAAAAACATGACACATAGTGGGAGAGCCAGCATACCCGTCACATGCTAATTAGACCAAGGGCATAGATGTGATGACCAGCCAGGTTTGCTCTGTGCCTCAGCCAAAGACCATCCCTCTCCCGCATGACCCAGGAACCCAAAATAGTATGCTTTGGTTACAAGGAGCATCTAGGGAGGCAGGATCAGTGTGGATCCTTCTTCGTCAGCAGGAAATAACTGCCATCATTAGGCCAGTCAGTGGTCCACCCTGTACTGAGTTTCCTGCCCACACACCTCCCAGGGCCATCCAGTGCCCTGGCTTCCGGGGTGGGGAGGTGCTCAACAGGTTCTGTAACTAGCACTGAATGACCCGTCTCTTAGACAAAGACTGTTCCAGATACCACTCTTGTCAGGGTTGGGGGCTGGTGATATTGGAGCAGAGAGCAGACTCAACCCAGGGGACAGTTAATTCTCAGTTTCCTTTATGGGCATGGGCAAAAAGAACTAGGGAGGGGTTGGATGGCTTCTAGACCAAATTAGCTTTTTTTTTCCCCATCCAAAGCAGTCGAGGAAGAGAAAGGGAATGTCTAAAGATGGGGCCTTGGTGTCTTGTCTTATGAATGGGGTGTGTGTGTGTGGCGGGGTGGTGGTTGTGGGGGGAGTCCCTCTAGCAAGCTCTCCTTTTTTTTTTTTTTTTTTAAGATTTCATTTATTTATTTGAGAGAGAGAGCATGAGTGGGGGAGTGGGTAGGGAGAGGGAGAAGCAGACTCCCCGCTGAGCAGGGAGCCCTATGGAAGACTCCATCCCAGGACCCTGAGATCGTGACCTGAGCCCAAGGCTTAACCGACGGAGTCACCCAGGAGCCCCATAGCAAGCTCTACATCTCACTGGAAGTAGTAAGCTCCATCCTTTTCTCTCACTCGGAACCCTAGTTGAAGGTCAGAAGTCAGGTGACATTTTAGGGCCTGTGTGAAAGACACAAAAGCAAACCTAGCAGCTTTTATAAAAGTGAGGAGGCTGTGGACAGCCCTCTCCCCCCTGACTGGCACTTTTCCCCGGCAGCTGCCAACATCCTGGGCCATCTAAGTAAGGGCGTCTACGTGCTGATGAGTGGGCTGGACCTGGAGCGGCTGGTGCTGGCTGGTGGGCCCCTTGGGTGAGTGTGAGGCTCGGGGGAGCTAGGCTTTTGGCCTCCTTAGCAGATCGTGACATCACAGCCTTCCCCTGCGGGGGGCCAGTGGGAACTGCCTCCTGGAAGATGTACCTTCTTTCTTGGAGACAAAATGAGCAAACCTCCCCCTCCCACATGTGCTTTCTTCACAATGAAAGGAAATATTATCAGATGATAGGCAAGAGGCCTGAGGTGCCATTCTGCTTCATTATTCAGGATGAAACAGGGCACCCAGGGTCTAAGGCCTGTTTGCCCAGGGGTTCCTGCCCCTCCATCTGGTGTCAGGGAGACGGGCACACGTCCTGGGCAGTCAGTGCAGTGACGGCGCAGGGATCATCAGAGTCTTCATGCTCCTCCTCTCCTGCCAAGCCATCTCCCCCCAAGCCTTCCCACGCTGGCATTCTGCCACCCCCACTGGCAGTGGGGGTACAGCAAGGCGCCTCCTCAGTGTCTTTCTCTCTTCTGGCAGGCTCATGCAGGCCGTCCTCGACCACACCATTCCCTACCTACACACAAGGGAAGCCTTTGGCCAGAAGATTGGCCACTTCCAGGTGAGTGGAATGCTTTTGCTGCAATGTACTTTTTCATTGGGTGCAGATTATCTTTAGCAAATGAGCAAGTGGGGCATTCCCTATCTTTCGCCACCAAAATGAGCCTGGAGGCTTGGATCGGAGGCTCCTTTGGCATGCCGCCTGGCTTTGGGAACTTGTCAGGAAGTGGCTCTCGTGTCCGCTCACTTCCTACTCGAGATGAATGAACTTGACATTGTAAGGCTGGATGGCGAAGCGAGCAGGTTGTAGGCAGGCCCAAGGGAAGGGAGCAACATTTCTGGTCACGCTTCCTGCTGTGAAGCCACCACAGGGCGTCCGTGGGGGTTGCGGCCGGGGAGGGGGCCCTCTCAGCTTGTGGGCTCCACAGTGCGGCGGCTGGTCTCTGGGCATCTCTGTCACCCTAGGCAAGTCCAGTCTCCTCGCTGTGCCCTGGCATCCCCGGGCCTGGCTCTCGGGTGGCTACCGCTGACCTGCTTTGGGTGACTAGGGGGAGTGTCTGAGAGGAACGTGGCTCCAGCGTGTTGACTTGTGACCAACCCCCCTTGTGCCCAGCTGATGCAGGGGAAAATGGCCGACATGTACACCCGTCTCATGGCCTGTCGGCAGTATGTCTACAATGTCGCCAAGGCCTGTGATCAGGGCCACTGCACTGCCAAGGTAAGGGCCGGCTGTGGGGACTCCCTCCCTGCGTGGCCCTGGCAGGGCCCTGCTGACCCGGAGCCCCCTCCCACAGGACTGCGCGGGGGTGATCCTTTACGCAGCTGAGTGCGCCACACAGGTGGCCCTGGACGGCATTCAGTGCTTCGGTGAGTGGCCCCCGCTCCCCGCGCCCAGCCGCGGTGCTTCCGCTCGCTGCCGCTGAGCCGGCACCTTTAGGCTTCTGCCCCAGTCACTAGGAAGACATGTTAAAGCAAATGAGAAAACTGCCAGAGGCCCCGAGGGGCCCATCCTGGCAGCAGTGCCTCCCTCTCACACTTACTGCCTGGTCCTGTGAACCCTGGGAAGTGGGGAGGGAGGGACGCCTCGGGGGCGGGACGGCCTCGTGTCAGTGCTGCACAGTGCTGCACAGTGCTGCAGAGCCCAGAGTTGGGCCAGAAGGCCTGGGTTTGAAGCCTAGCGCTGCCACCGACTGGCTTTGTGACCCGTACAAATGACTTACCCTCCCTGGGCCTGGCACCCAGTGACTGCCGTGCAGTATCTTCCTGTCTGCCTCCCCAGGTTGGCCAGTGGCGGTCCCCATCTTTGCCTGGTGGCCTCAGCTCTCTGGGTGGCCTTCCGGCCCCTCGTCCCCGCTGGTGTTGCCCACAGCCTCCCCTCTCACCACCACTTGCTCCTTCTCTTTAATCAGCTCTCTTCTCCTCTGGCCTGTTTCTATATACTTGGCTCTCCGTTTGCTTTCCTCACTGCCCATCACCTCCTGTTGTCTTTTCTTCTCGGCCCGAACCCTGGCTGCAGGTGCCAATGGCTATATCAACGACTTTCCCATGGGCCGCTTTCTGCGGGACGCCAAGCTGTACGAGATCGGGGCCGGGACCAGTGAGATGAGGCGGCTGATCATCGGCAGAGCCTTCAACGCAGACTTCCGCTAACCCCAAGACCCTCCACCCCCTTTCTCAGCACCTAGAGGCCTTTCTTTGGACATAGAGCTACGGCAGCTCCCTTGCTGCTCAGCTGCACTTGCATCAGCCCTTGGCCTCTGCCGTGAGGTGTCTACCACGGCTGACAAGTGCTGTGGGTCTCAGAGCCCGGCCAGCCTGCCCGCCTGCGCCCCGGATGCCGCAAGTTACAGGCAGGCGTGGGGGAGAGGGAGCACCATTTCTAGTCACACCTTCTGGTCTGAAGATGCTGCCCGACATTAATGAGAGTTCAGGTGGGTGGAGGGCCTCCCTGGAAAGTGTTCTGTGGCTTAAAATGGACCCAGCAGGAAGCGTACTGGCTTTTCTGGGGCTTGCTGGGAAGGCTTCAGTGACTCTCTAACGTCCGAGCCCTCCACTTCGCTGGGCGAGCACTTGGGGGTGGGCTGGCAGCCACCCCTTTTTTGGAGGGGAGGGGGCTGTGCCTCTGGCAGGGAGCCCAGTGCACCAGAAGTATTGCCCCTCTACATGTATTTGAACCTGGCAGCCTCTTCTTTCTAGGGGGAAAAAGACCCCCAAACCTAGCCTTTGTTTCTGCCGATTTCTAGAGGCATCAATTCCCAGTAGCTTATGAGCAGGCACCCGCTCGGCAGCAGTCCCTCTGCCCCCCCCCCACCCAGGGCTTCATTCCTTTAGGGCGGAAACCCCGTGGTGTTGGGGTGGAGCATCTCAGACCTGGGCCACCCAGACTGCCCGGGGAAGGGAGGGGGGGAGGTCCACAGAGGTCAGTGTGCATGCGAGGGATCGGCTCAGTGCCAGCCTCCATGGCAGCACCTCTGAGCCCTTCAGCCCTGCCCTGCCACTGCCACCATCTAGTCCTGGCCGGATGACAGCCCTCAGCTGACTGGGCAGCAGGCCTGGCTGCAGCTCAACTCCAACTAAGGCTGCCTATGTACATTTCTCTGGATGCCCTATGGCTAGTTTTGTTACAACAGCCCCACGGCTGCTGCCATTTTGTATTAAGCATTAGGAAGCAAACCCATCTGCTTCTAAACTGGTGTTTTTAGGGGTGAAGCAGTCCACTTGCTACTGCCTCCTGTCTGGCGCTAGCCCCATGTCCTTGGGGAGTAGTTAGTCCAGGCCCTACTCCTGTCCTCCTGCCTACTCACTGGTGATGCGGGACAAAGAGATGGCATGTGCCTTGAGGACAGAAGAGGTTTCAGCCTCCCTTCCCCAGATCTCCCAGTGGTTTTAAAGGAAGGAGGGAATCCAGAGAGATGAGTCTGAGAGCTAGAAGGAAGCTTATACATTTCTGGATGCCACCCCCATGTTTTGTTTTTGTTTTTTAAGATTTTATTTGTTTGAGAGAGAGAATGAGAGAGCATGAGAGGGGGGAAGGTCAGAGGGAGAGGCAGACTCCCTGCCGAGCAGGGAGCCCAATGCGGGACTCGATCCCGGGACTCCAGGATCATGACCTGAGCCGAAGGCAGTCTCCCAACCAACTGAGCCACCCAGGCACCCACCACCCCCGTGTTTTTAAAACTGACACAGGGGCGCCTGGTGGTTCAATCAGGTAAGCTTCCAACTCTTGGTTTCGGCTCAGGTCATGATCTCAGGGTCATGGGATCAAGCCCCACGTCAGGCTCCACGCTCAGCACGAGTCTGCTCGAGATTCTTTCCCCTCTGCCTCCCTCCCCCTCTGCTCTTCCACCTGCTCACACACACTCAAGTAAATAAAATCTTAAAAGATAAAGACAATTTGGTTTTCCCAAGGTCAGAACGGAGCTAGAATCTAGATCAGCAGAAATGAGAATGCCAGCCTGGAGCCCCCTGCACAGTCAAGAGTGGAATGGGTTTGGGTTGTTCCGCCGTATCTCAATTCCCTAAAAGAACCGGTTTTCTTGTCTCTCGGCCGAGGGGTGCCTTTCGGACTTTTGGTGCTGGCCTGCGGCTAAGTGCTGTTCCAGCCTGATGCCTGAGACAGGTGGAGTTATTAGCCCAGTTCTATCCTCAGGGGGAAACCCAGGGCTTGTGGCACTGTCCCTTTACTTCCCTGGCCTGCCTCCTGCTTTGTTGGACATGAATGGGGCCGAAATAGTGGTCTTGCTGGGTTTAAAGTGTAGCTGGAACAAGCCGCCTGGAGCTGTTCAGAATGTGACAGGATGGAATGTTTCCTCCGGTCCACGTGCGCTGCGGAGCCCCGCCACCAACTTGGGGAGAATGTGACTGTTCCCCCAATGCTATATATGAAATAGAAAAGGCGTATTTTAAAATAAAGCCAAAAACAGAGTGTAGCCTGAGTCGCAAATGGAAGAGCAAGGGGCACCTCACTTTGGTTCTTTTGGGGGGTTCTCGTTTCCGAGCATTGTGTAACCACAGCACCAGCTAGTCGTTCCTGGGGCAAGTCCTTCCTGGGGCTGCTTCTAATGCCACGCACTCCAATTTTAGGCGGGTCACACGACCAGCCCAGGCCCCCATTTGTTGTTTGCCTAGTGTTTGTCCTGTGGGATGGCAACAGAAGCTGAGAATGGTTCTCAGGTGTGGTCTGGACACGCTATTGATCAGAATTTGGCAACCAGTAAAATGCGGATTCCTTGATCAACCCTGGACCTAATCACATCGCCAGGGGCCATGCTGAGGCGCGGGCAACCTTTTAGAAAAACGGACCTGGGACCTAAAGGACACTTCCCCCGGCGGCCTGAATCCTAATTCTGGTAAAAACAAGTCTTATGTGGCAGTCGCAAGTCTGGATTTGATGTATTAGCTCCTTGGTCTTGACCACAACCCGGTGTGGGAGGCAGTGTTGTGCAGGGCGGCCTTCCAGATGACAGGTGAGTGGCCCAGGGGCACAGAACTCAGCCCGCCAGGAGCCAGCCACCCAGCCACGCCCAGAGGCGAGGTGGAGCCAGAGCGGGTGTTAATGCGGCGTGGGAGGTGAGGTGGGAGAACCCTGTTTTTAATTTGGTGGCTAGTGCCCAGTTTATGCCCCACCAGGCAGAGCCAGACCGAGATCCCGGGTGACCGTTAGTCGCGACCCCCAGGTTAGGGCAGGCCGGGTGTCCTCCCCGTACCCCGCTCCGCCGAGGGAGCGCTGCTGGGACTCCCGGACTCGGGCGCGGTTCTGCGGGGCCTGCGTGGAACTCGCCTGACCTCTGCCGGCCGCCCGCGGGGTTGCAGGCGAGCCGAGTCGCCGCTCTCCGGCCTTAGGCCCCGTGCTCTGGACCAGCGGCTCCCAGTCTCGGATGTCAAGATGCACAGGGCTCAAGGCCTTTTTTCGTTTTTGTTTTGCCAAATGAGGACGTGAGGGGAGCGGGGGAGAAGCTGGCTATCCTCTATCTTGTATCGTTTCATACCAAAAAAAAAAAAAAAAGACACTTAGCAATTAAAAAAAGTGGAAGGGACGTAAACTCAGAACAAAAGCCAATGCTTTTTTTTTAAATTACATATATGTTTTATGTTCATGAGTTTTAAAAGATGATAGTTTAACGTTTACTTTTTTTAAAAAAATAACCCCTGTCCTCCACCCCTCCTCCCCAGGATTAAACCGCTCTTGAATCTTTAAGAGACTTCTTTTGGTAATGCACTTGATGCCTCTGAGTGATGTGTTTCTTTATTGACTGAATTGCAAACGCTTCTAAGGATAGTTTCTCAGTGTGCATACATTTCATTTATAAGCAGCTCATTACATGCCCTTGCTTCATCAGTCCAGTCCTGTCCACAAGCCAGCCTTTGCGAACCCTGGGATCAAATTGTGCAGGATCCTGTTCTCATTCCTCACCATCCTCTGCCCACACTTAGTGCTCCTTGGTACCCAGAGCCCAGAGCCACACTAGTTCTGGCTTGGAGCCCTCTTTTCACCCTGCTCCACCTGGTGGCTGGGCAGGGAGCTGGTGTCTCCCACACCCACCACCCATCTACTCTCAGAACTAGCCTATCTAAATATTTTTTGGATCCACAACCACCTGACAACCTGTCCGCCTTCCTACAATCTGTGTCCCTCAACCCTTCCTCTATTGTGGGCCAGAGTGAACTATCCGGCTCCCCCTAAATCTTTCAGTGGATCTCAGTACCTATAAAATCTAAGGTTTTTACAAGGCAAATCTGACTCTGATCCCCCTCGGCTGTCCCCTCCAGCTGCTTCTCTCCCCATCCCTGCTGAGTACTTGTGTTTTGGGAGCAAATAGCCCTCAGGTGCTGTTCCTTACCCCTGTGCCTTTGCCCAGCTGGTCCCTCTGCAAAAGATGTCCTTCCAGCCCTTAACCTTGTCCTTGTTTTCCTCATCCCTCAAGTCTCAGTTCAGGGTCTGAATTTTTAGGAAGACCTCCCTACTCCAACCTTACCCACTCCATCTCTCCTAGCCTAAGGAGGCGGGGGTGAGAGAGGGTGGCCTTCCTGCTTCTCCCTGGGCCTATCTGCCTCCGTGGGCTTGCCCCACTGTTGTATTTATCTCGGATAAATTAGGCTAAGAACTTAAGGGCCAGGATTGTGATTCAGTTGCCCTTATATGTTCACCACCCAGCACGGTTCCTGGTACATAATAGGTGCTCAACAAATGTTTATTGAAAGAGTAGATAAGTAGTCCTGTAACATTTAGCTCACATTTTTCTGGTACCATATTATTTGTGTATATGATTCCCTCTGAGTACACTGTAAGATCTTTGAGGTCAAAGACCACTTCTCACTTATGTGAACCCTCCCAACAGCACCCAGTGCTCACTGTAAGCGCTCCGTGCTCTGTGCATGTTGAATGAGTGAAACAACAGGTGGGCCAGAGCCCTGGCCTAATCCCCAGAGTTGGCAGAAAGAGCCGAGCCAGCCGGCCTCGGCTGGCCTGGCTTTCCCCAGGCCTTCTCACCCTGGAGTAGCCAGGGCCCAGCTGCAGAGGGGAGGCCCTCATCCCCATATTCCTCTGACCCACTCAGAAACAGAGGAGAACTGTGGATGAGGGACCCTGGCCCCTCCTCCGGCAGGCGAGGGCAAGAATAGGGATTGGATGGAGAAAAGGGGCAGAGTCGAGCACATACCATCGATTTTTTTCTTGTGTAAAATGTATGATATATACAGAAGAGTTTGTAACATGCATAAATG